GGGCGCCGGGGGCGGCGGCGGCCGCACCGTCGGGGCTGGGCACGGCGCGGAGCCCCGCTGCCAGCGGCGGGGAGGGGAGCGGAGCTGCTGTACTGACAGCCCCGAGCATCCTCGGGCCCCGGGTGCTTCCTCAGCGGGGCCCTGCCCAGAAAAGCCTCCTTTGCACAGAGCTGAGCTTAACTCCAGCGGGAGAGCGGCCGGGAGGGAGGCAGCGGCCGCGGGGCTGCACCCTGGGTGCTGGGGGAGAGCCGCTGTGGGCCCCGGCAGCCTCGGCACGAAACCCAGCTCCACTTAAAAACGTGGAGACGGAGAGGGGGAAAGTCCCGGAGCGAGGGTGGGCTGAGGGCCGGAGGGCTGGGACCAAGCTGGGTCAACTCGGTGAGCTTCTCCCCCAGTTGCAATGAACTGGGCTGCTTCCCCCGAGCGCCGTCTCCATCGTAAGGCAGCGGAGGGAGGCTGGAGGCCACCGCGGGATGAGGCAGGCTCGTCCTGCTCGAGGGGGCCGCGGCACCCGTCCTGCGCGCCCCGTTTCGGTGGGCAGACGGGAACCGGCGGCGGGGCGCGCGGGCAGGACAGCAGCTCTCGTGTCAGCAGCAGGGTGGACTGAAGTACCCGCGGTGGGACACTGAATCACGGCTCAGAATAAAATCCTCCAGGTTGCTAATGATTGCTGGAATCCCGGCCAGCTGGCTACTGAGCAATGCCGGGCTCCAGCCACCGTCCTATTCCCAGGCGGTTGCACGAGCGGCAGCGAAAGCAGAGCTATTTCCAGCCGGCATCAGCGGGGCCACGAGCACTCGGGGCACGAGGGGTCCCCTCACGAGGGCAGGCACTGGGGTGGCCTGCACCCAGCAGGATGAGCAGACCGGGCAGTCGGATACGGAGCTTTTCTCCTGCCTCCGCTCATTGCTTTAAGGGGCGTTCGGGTGTCCCTGTCCGGGCCAAGCACAAGGCTTTTGGGGAGCATTGGTGCAAAGGCTGGGGGCCAAGGTGCGGGGCAGGGGGGTGTCAGTAAGCCTGGAGCAGTGTCCTGGCCCACGAGCCGCGGATGTGGCTAGTGTCCTGGGCTCGGGGATGCCTCCCCAGAGCAAGGCTGGATTCGGCTGCTGCACTGTGGTGTGCCAAGGGGCACGCGATGGGAAGGTGCCTCACCGTGGCACCCCCAGCGCCCCTTTCCTCCCCTGCACCCCTCCGGGCCCTGCAGGGGTCCCCCCCCAGCCAGTGCTCTGAGCATGGGGAGAGCCCCCGGGAGCCCCGGCAGGGAGGGGACCTGCACCCTTGGGTCCAGGGGTGAGTGAGGGCTGTGGAGGCATCGCCCAAGCCTTCTCCATCCATGCTTACATTCCCTCCGCCACGCGTGGATGTAAAGAGGCCAGGGAGCTCCCTGGGAGGGCCCCTGCTGCACTGGGCGGTGGTCGGGGGGTGCCCACGGGAGCAGGCACCCAGCACCCAGCTCCCGTCTGGAGCCCTTGGGGCTGTGGGGGCTCAGCGGCCCAGGGCAGCCAGGACCGAGGGAGGCAACGCTGGGGCACCAAAGCCCAGCACCTTCAACACTCAGTGCTTTAAAATGGCCGGGTTTGATGACAGCCAGGGTGGGATGGTCGGGGGAGCTGCCCGGGAGGCGTCGGTGCTGGCAGTGGGGTGCTGGCACTGGGGTGCTGGCGCAGGGGTGCTGGCACCGCTCCCCTTCCCGGTGCTCCTGGAACAGCAGGGAGAGTTGGGGAAACACAGTTCCAGCCTTCAATTTGAATGGCTTTGATTTCTGTGGCTTCATCAGCCCCTTCATGTTAATTAAATAAGTTTTTGTGGGAGAAGGCTAGCTTTCATTTGCATGCATAATTTGCTGCGCCATTACCCTGATGGGGCATGCAAATGGGGTAAGTCGTTGCTCCATTGGGCACTTGGACCTCTTTGCTCCCAGCCACCCCACGTAGCCCTGTGTGAGCCGGGCCGGAGCGCGGCTCCCAACGGCACACCTTTTTTTCTGGGAAGGGGAAATGACAAACCTCCCCGGCTCACGAACACGTCCCGGTTTGGGCGGGCAGAGCGCCCTGCCTGCCTGCTGGCCTGGCCAGGCGGCCGGGCCGGGAGCAGCGAGGGCCTCGGGGCGATGGGCGGCCAGCGGGCACCGTCGGTTGGGTTTGGTGATGATGGAGCCACCCATCCCGTCCTGTTCGCTGCCTCTCAGCGTGAGGATGAAACACTTCGTATAAACCTGACCCGTGCTATTTCTGTGCGCTCACTGAAGGAGTCAGGTGGGTTGTATTTTTAAGCCTGGGGTAAGGCTGGGCTTTGAGATTTCTTCTCGGCCAGGGCTGAGCCACCGGCTGTGAGTCACGGTTCCGCGCAGGGTATAATCACGGAGCAGAGAGGTTTGTAACGGGAAGGCGAGGAGGAGGCTGGCAGTGCCGCAGCGTGCCCGAGCCCCCCGCGACCGCCCGGCAGCACCACAACGCGCACGTCCTCCCTTTCCCTCCCCGGGATGTGGCCGGACTCCCCCCGTGGCTCTTTCGGATGAAGCAGTGAGGCAGCTCTGCCCGCGGCTTTCTGGCAAACCCTGGCTTCACCGGATTTGCTTCCCGGGGAGCACTGGGGGAGGAAGGCAGGGCAGCACCTTTGCAAAAAATAGATGCAGTGCCCCGGGCGCTGCAAGGAGCCATTAGCGCGGGGTGGGAGCTCACAGCAACCTCTTTGATTTCGCCAGGGAGCTGGGCTGTGCTGCTCCGCTCCCCGCGCTGGCAGAGCATCGCCCGCTGCCGGCCTCGGCGCCCCAGCGGGTGCTCACCCTCGCCCCCACACAACGAGCACTGAGATCCCACTGCTGCCAGCAGCAGGGTCAGGATTTTTGCACTCCTGACTTCATTTTGCAGCCGTTTGTGCCTCCTCCTCCGGGCATCCGTGCTGGCTCCGCCAGAAAACCCGGCGCAGCCGAGGGACGCACGGCAGATTTTTCCGCCAGCGCGGAATGAGCCCGGGCAGAGGTGTCGGTGCTCTGTACGCACCCGCCGTGCGTGTTTTAAATGGGAAAAGCTTTGTGAATAAAATCCCCTGGGCTCCACCTGCGGCACCGTGCTCTCGGCTGGCCCTGGAGCGGGGGGACGCAAGCGGGGGCCACGGCTGCCTCGCAGCCGGGCTGGGGGTGCCCGGTGCCGAGCCCTGTGTCCTGCGGCTCCCGCTGCTCAGCCTGGGAGGACAGAGCAAGCGCCCGTCAGACAAAGTGGGAGCCTGGCAGAGGCTTGGCTGCATTTCGCAGCACTTGGGATAACTCCTGATTCCCTCCCCGCTTCGGAAAGCCTCCGGAGCTTATTTTTTCCTGCTTGCAAGCGAAGGATAACATCTTCCTTCCATCTCCTTTAAACCTATTTTGGGATTCAGAGCACTTGATGTGGTTGAATATCCTGGCATTTCCTTTTAATTTAGTGTCTGAAATGATCATGGGGACCACTGGGAGCAGCCAGGACCAGTAATTACGACTGATGCGCAGTTTATAGAAACAGAGAAAGTTTACAATAAAAAAGTGCAGCTAAAAATAACCTGGGGAGCAGGCCGAAGGGCGGGCGGCCCCATCGCCCCATCTCTGGGAAGAGACTGGGAAGAGACTGGGAGCTGGGAGACACAGCTGGGCATCCCTTGCCAGGGGTTGCATGGCCCCGCAGCCATTAATATATACATATAATATTTTTTTTGCTGTTTTTTTGGGGTGGTGGGACCGCAGGGCATAGTTGTGGCATTCAGCTTTGGGGAAAGACGCAGCAGCTCGTAGGGGCGAGACAGTAAACGCCGAAGGAGGGGGCAAGGAGAGCAAAGAGCTTGGGTTGGGTTTTTTTAGTGTCTCATCCGCAATCCGGATAATCCGCCCACAGATAATTGAGGGTTGGCAGCGCGGCTGAGTCAACCCGCCTCGAATCAAGAGCAGGTTCCCAGGCGCGACGGGCTCCTGGCCGGCCGGGGAGGGCCCGTCGCCCGCACACCCCCAGCACCGGCAGCGTTTTAGCACCCACTTTTCTGCCTGGGCAAGAGGCACCGGGTGCTTTCGGGATGCGACACGCGCTCCCTCACTGCATGGTCATAATTTTGTAGCCGTTTATAATTTTGCCAGAAAACAGGGCTGTATTAAACCTCCCCCAACCTGCTGATCGTCAGCCCGGGTCGCAGTTTGCTAAACGCCACGCAGCCGGTCCCATCCCCGTCGCCCTCCTCTGCCGCGCTCGCCCCGTGTCGGCGCAGGAGAGGATGCTTCGCCCTTGGGGGTTCCCTCCTCTGCTCCACAAAAAGGGGGAGAAAGCAGGGATTCCTCCTCGTCTCTCACCCCAAATACCAGGCAGCTTGCTATTAAGTCCAGCTCATTTCATTCACCAAGGGGCACCGCTAATTGTGGTCTCCTTTAGCAGTTCTCATCCCTGGCCAGGTTCTCCCTCGGCTCCCCTCCCTGCCAGCTCACCCTCCTCTGCCTTCGGCCCCGGCCTCCTCCAGCACCTCCACAGCGCACAGAGGGGAAGATTTCATAGCAAACCTCTGCTTTAGCAAAGGTTTTCACCCTTCTCCGGGGCCAAAAACTCACTCTGGGGTCCTTTTCTGTGTCGCTGGGTCCCTGTGACCTCCTCGGCTCTGCCAGAAACCCCCCCTGCCCGTCCCCGGCTCCACCCGAGCGGCACCGCAGCATCGCTCGACCGAGGAGCGCGGTGATTTCCGAGCCAGTGTTCAGTCTGGTTGGGTCTCGCCTGATGCCAGCGGGCAAAGGGGTGACCCCTGAAATACCCGGGTGACCAAAAATATCCGAGGGGACAGCGCTTTGTACCTGGGTGACCCACCGCAGGACCTGCCGGTCATCAATGGGGAAAAAAACAAACGAGGGGATTCCTCTGGTTGTGTTTTGGGGGGATTTAGGTATTTTCCAAGAGCTGTGAGGCATCGGCGGCCTCAGCAGCATCTTCAGTGGCCCAGGAGCATTAAACCAGCAGCGATGGGTCAGTGGATGAAATGGAATTACAGAAAAGGGCTGGGGGGCCCCGAGGGGCTGCAGCGGGGTC